GAGCCCGATGCGGGACTTGATCCCGGGACTCCAGGATCATGACCTGAGCCGAAGGCAGTCGCTTAACCAACTGAGCCACCCAGGCGCCCCCAGAGAAGGTTTTTAAGTAGGAAAATGACAGTTCTCCAAATCAGAATATAAAATTTTACATCCAATTTGTGCCTATCACAGCTGGATACAGAACGAAGAAATTGTCATAGAAAACAGATATGGAAAAGAACTATCTTAAGATGTTAATACTGTTGTCTCCACCATTGGACTCTGGGTGACTTTTCTTTTTTTTCTATTCTGTTTTTCCAAAAATTTCTCTTACTTTATGATTGCGGGGCAAAACTCAGTCCTCACTGTCACATCATTGTTTCATTGTGAAATCTGGCATATCCGTTGCTTCCCGCTCTGTTTATCGAAGGGGTAAATGTCCTAAGACCTTCCTCCTGTGAGAAAATGTGACTGCTCAAGAGGGCAGGACTTTAAGGAAGCATCTGATCTTCAGTTTGGCCTTATCTTCCAACTTGTTTTAGGATTGCTAAAGATTCACTCCAGTCAATCCACTCCCCAGCAGGCTGTCCTGACAATCCCCAGCCAGCTCAAGCCACTCGGTGTAAATACATCCGGAGGTGTACAGACTATCCTGATGCCTGTGAATAAAGGTGAGTCTGTCCCCTTGGGGCATGCGGGCCTCCACCTACGGGTGGGCCGCGTGTCCTCATTCTGCCCGCGGCCCCTCCCCGTGCCGCCTGCCCTTTGGCCATCTGCTCTCCTTGGCGTTTTGAACTCTGGAGCACCAGCTCTCGCACTGAACGTGAACCCCAGATGACCCATTGGTTTCTAAATAGCTCCCCGTTTCTAAAGTTGAGTAGAGGGGGAGCATTTTAAGCATTTATGAGAGTTCCAGGCTAATTGGATTTTTATTTTCTTAGTGACCAGCCCCCATTTCCACAGTTGAAGATCATAGCTCAGGTTCCCTGTTCCCGTCAGTAAACAGCCAACCTTGTCAAATCACTATATTAAGTGAGGACCTTTTGAATGTTGTACTGAAATTGTTTTTGTGCCATTCGTCTAAAATGAGGCCATCACCTGGGAGTAATAATTTCTATATTTCTTACATCCTCTCCTTTTTTTTTTTTTAAACCTGTTAGTGGTTCAGTCATTTTCTGCCAACAAATCACCTGCCATTCTGCCTGTAGCTGCCCCAACTCCGATTATCCCCAGCTCTGCTCCAGCGGCTGTTACAAAAGGTAGGGAGTTTCTCATGGTATTTTTGCCTGCAAGTTTTGTGTAAGACATCATTGTAACCTGGGTGCCTTGAATTTCAGCCTGTCTGAGTCAGTCACGTCAGAAATACTTACCGAGTGTTTATATATAGACTTGACACTGAGGGAAACAGATGGGTAAAGGATCATCTGCACTTTAAGAACTTATAAAATCAGGGGCGCCTGGGTGGCTCAGTTAAGTGTCTGCCTTCAGCTCAGGTCATGATCTTGGGGTCCTGGGATCGAGCCCCGCATCGGGCTCCCTGCTCAGCGGGAGGCCTGCTTCTCCCTCTTCCACTCCCTCTGCTTGTGTTTCCTCTCTCTCTGTGTCTCTCTCTGTCAAATAAATAAAATCTTTAAAAAAAAAACAAAAAACTTCAAATCAGGTTGAAGAGAGTAGTAGTAGACCGCAAGCAGTGATTGATAAATGCAGGATAAGTGATCTGGAAAGTGAATGCTGCAATATTTCAGTCTAGGATGTCTGCTCAGGGTTGGTGGGGGTGTGGAGGGGGTAGGAATTTTTATGGAACATGGATTATAACCTGGACTTGACTGAAGCATTTTGAGGGAGCAGTAGAGACAAAGACTCAGAGGGCTTGTTTGGGGAAGTAAACCAATTAGGGAGACTCATCTGGGGTGTATAGTTGTGGTAAAGGAGCTTCAGGTAGGGCCAGGTTTTGGCAGGCTGGCAAGGGGGACATTTCTGACCACTGAGTAGATTGAGATGGTGTGGTGGGTTAAAGCAGCACACTGTGATGTCTGTAACATCTAGAATACTGAGAGCTACTGTGTGCTAAGAGCCTTGGGAGTACCAGGCACCACGCTGGCTGTTTTATGTAGATCACTAATTATCACAAGGCTTCCAGATAGCTCTTATGCCCATTTTGTAGATGAGGAAACTGAAGTTCGGAGATATGAAGTATCCACTTCCTAAATCTTGAAAGTTAAAAAGCAGTGCAGTCAGGATTTGAAGTAGTCTGCTTTTCAGACATGCCAGATCTTTCACACCAGTCTTGAGAAAAGGTGGATTTGTAACTTAAGGTGTGACCAGCTAAAATGGGTTTGCTGATTACAGTCCCCTGCCTGTTTTTTAAATAAAATTAATTGGCACCCAGCTATTCCCATTTATTTACATATGATCTGTGGGTGCTCTGCCAAGTCCAAGTTGATGAGTTCCAGTCGAGATCACTGATTGGTCCTTTATAAGAAAAGTTTGCCAACCCCTGATCAGAAGGTAGCTGATAAAAGAACTTGTATTAGCCTGGACCAGCATTTCTCCTCAATAATGGTTCCATTTCATAGGCCTTCCTCATGCAGATTCGGATTCAGTTCATTTTGGACTGGGGTCAGAGCATCTCTGTATTTTAATTGTGATAAAATCTTGTGTATTGAAATGCAAAGGTACTAAGCATGCCATTTGATGAACTTTGTTATAAACCCATGTAACCCATTTTCCATTCAAGATACAGATATTTTCATGACCTTGTGCTCCTTCCTGTCAGTTCCCAACCCCCATAGGCAACCACTGTTCTGATTTCCCTTACAGTAGATCAGTTATGTCTATTTTTTTAACTTTATATGAGTGGAAGCACATGCATTTTTTTATGTCTGGTTGTATTTATTTACCATAATGTTTTTGAGATTCATACATATTGTACCTGAATAGTATTCCACATTGTAGGGAATACACCATAATTTGTTTGTCATTTCTCCTATTGGTGGACATTAGGGTTGTTTCTAGTCTGGGGCTGTATGTACAAGTCTTGGAGAACATATGCTGTCCTTTCTATAGTAGAGTAGCTGTGTCAACCTGAAAATGCTAATTCTATAATTCCGTAGTTGTCGGAGGGCCAGATTAATGTGAGTACACTTGTACCTATAGAACTGGAGTATCTGAACTTTTTCTAAGGACTTCCTTCTGTTTCTTGAAGTCTTGGAATCACTAGGGATTGGGGGGATATATATTGCTAACAGTGAAATTAAATTAGGGTCATTCAATACAAGTCAATATAGACATGTAAAAAATTAATTTTATATAGAAATGAAGTGCTAACAACCTACTAAACAGTTCTGAGAGAAAGTGAAAAGACCTAAATAAATTGGAGGATACACCTTGTTGTTTTAAATACAGTTGACCCTTAAACAACGCAGGTTTGAACTGTGCAGGTCCACTTACAGATTTGTTTCAATACAGTACAGTACTATAAATGTATTTCCTCTTCTTTATGATTTTCTTAATATTTTCTTTTCTCTAACTTTATTGTAAGAATACAGTATATAATACATACAATGTACAAAATATGTGTTAATCAACATTTATGTTATCAGTAAGGCTTCCAATCAGTAGTACACTATTCGTAGTTAGGTTTTTGGGGAATCAGAAGTTACGCATGGGTTTCAACTGCAGAGATGTGGCACTCCTAACCCTCCGAGTTGTTCAAGGCTCAACTGTAATTTTTATAAATATGAGAAATTATATTAATATACAGAAAGACCTGATGTGTTATCAGCTCTCCCCCCAAAAAATGACATACAGAATCAATATAGTCCCAGCCAGAATGCCTACAGTGTTGTTTTGTGTGTGTGTAGAAATGGACAGACTGAGTCTACAATGTATGTGGAAATGCAGAGGCCCAGAATGGCTGAGGCAGTTTTGAAGAACAAAATGGTAGGGCACTTGGACCACCAGATACACATACTGTAGTGCTACAGTATTGAGATAGTGTTGTATTCAAGGGTAGACAGAATAATGGAATAGAAGAGAGCCCCAAAATAGACTCACACGTTTATGGTCCCTTGATTTATGACATTCGGTAGGGAAAGGAAGTCCTTTTCCATAAGTAGTGCTGGGTTAATTAGATATATCCATTTGGGAAAACAGTGAACCTTATACCATAAACAAAAATTAATTTGAGTTGGATTATGGACCTAAATGTGAAAGGTAAAACAGTAAAACTTTCTATCAGAGAAGATAAGAATATCTTCATGATTTGGGGCACAGATGTTTTAAGAGCAAAAAAATGTGAACAGAAACTGCACAGAAGAGGTTATCCAGATAGCTCATAAAGATGTGAAAAGTTGTTCAAGCTCATTAGTTATCAAGGAAATGCAAATTAAAGCCATAGTGAGATGCTGTTAGATCACCAAAATTTAAAACACTGGCCATACCAAGTTTTGGCAAGGATGCGAAGCAGCTGGAACTTGCATACACTGCTGGTGGAAGTGTAAATTGATGTAATAAAGCAGTTTGGCATTGTCTAATAAAGCTTAACATACATCCGCCCTGTGTTCCAGGAAATACACTTCCAGGAAATGCACACATATGTCCATCCACCAAAAGACATATGCAAGAATGTCCATTGCATTGTTATTTTTAATAGATAAAAAGATGCTGATGCAAAGGATTATGTACAGTATGATTCCAGTTATGTGAAATTCAAAGTGGGTAAAAGGTGGTTATCTTTGGCAGACAGGAACTGCCAAAAGCATAGGGAGCCTGGTTGAGGACTAGGAATACTCCATCTTTTTTTTTTTTTTTTTTTGAGTTTTATTTAAGTAATCTCTGTACCCATTGTGGCATGACCCCGAGATCAACAGTCCCATGCTCTTCTGACTGAGCCAACCAGGCGCCCCAAAATACTCTATATCTTGACTGGAATGCTGTACATGGGCGTATACATAGGCAATTGAACTATACACTTGATATTTGTGCATTTATGTAAGTTATGGATCAGTAAAAAGGGGGAGAGATGTATGAGTAGATCTCATTTGTAGACCCTTGTTATATAGGAAAGTACTGAGGATGTTGACTACGGAAATGACACGAGAAAGGTCACTTAGGAAAATTTTCTGGTGCTGATGTGCACGGTGAGTTGTAAGGGGAAGAGATCGAAGGCAAAGAAGCTAATGCAGGAGGAGAAAGTGTGTGGTCATGGATCAAAAGATCCAGGAAGACTGCGGGAGTACAGGGAGGCACGTGCACTGAGACATTGCTATCTTCCATCAGTAGATTTGGTAAGATTAAAGCCTACTGTGCTTGGCGTGGCTGTTGCCAAGCACAGCAGATCTGATTTTTGCTTTCTGCCTTATGTCTCAGAACACTAAGATAATGCTAAAAGTTGATAATCTTAGCTGGAGAGATGATATCCAAAAGGATACTAGAACTTAGAACAGGCCAGCATTGTATTTTAATGTGGTAGTGTGCGTGTGTGTGTGCATGTGTGTGCACATGTGTGTGTGTGCGTGCGCGCGAGTGAGGGGGATATTGCATAGCAGTGTGGTTGACTCTGTAAGAAATATGTAAAAAGCCACTTTATTGCCCCACCTTGTCATGAGCCTGGAGTTGCTCCCCAAGACCCAGGGTAACAGTGCCTCCCTTGTCTGCTGATCCCGTGACTCTGGGTGCCATCTCAATCCCCTGGCTGTGTCCCTACAGCAGCTGGTGTGGCAGTTTCCTCACCGAGTCTCAGTGGAAGAGCTTTTGTTTCTGCCTCACGTGTCCTTCCGTCATTGAAGGCTGACAGCTCTCTTTTTGTTGCTCTTCCCTTGTAGTAAAGACTGAACCGGAAGCGCCTGGGCCAGGCTGCCTCTCTCAGGAGGGCCAGACGGCAGTGAAAACAGAAGAAAGTTCTGAGCTGGGAAACTATGTCATTAAGTAATTATTTCAGTCCTTTCTAAGGAAGTTGTGCGTTTGGTGTTTTATATGGTACTTTCTTAAAACCCATACCTGTGACAGCTGAGTATGTGTAGAGTTGTGTGTGTATAGACGTAAGCCCCTTGGTGGGTGGAACCCTCTGCGCACGTGCGGTGAGCAGGTGTCAGCACTTGATGCACAGCTGCGGAGTCTTCGTGTAACACAGCGGTATCACCTCTGGGCGGCCCTGGACTTGTCGCCTCCAGAGCCTCGGGTGGTACAGATCTCCCTCCAGCAGAGCTTGACAAGCATGTACTTTCTTTGCTGAATCCTTGGGCATGAAATTTCTCATGGTGTAATTCTCAGGTGTGTATACATTTTACACCTGAGTATCCACACACCTGCCTAATCGTAAATACCTGCCTTTTCATGGGCTCTACACACTCACTCTTCTAAAAATACTTCATGAGGTTTTCTCATTTCCCAATTGGGAACCCACCTCTGACCATGTATTTTGAAGTATGTCAGATTATTGGGGACAGTGGAAACTTAGCCACTTTCACATGATTGGTGACAGCATGAGCCATATTAATCCTAAGAATAGGCATTTGTATATAGAAATGTTCTGCCCTAGCGGCGATCAGCTGCAAAAAGGTATGTGACTATTTAATTTTAAAATATAGATGAAATGTGATACTTGCATAATTTGCCATTCCTGGGTCTCATCTAGTTTATATTTAGAAGGCTATCTGTGGAAGGAAAGACATGCCCAGTATAATTGGTTAATTTTAATTCCCTTGGAAAGAAGGGAATATACACATGAATTCGTGCGTGTGTGTGTGCGTATACATATGTGGCTAGAAACTGCTGTACTTACTACCTTAATATTCTTTTCTTTTATCCCTCTCAGGATAGACCACTTGGAGACTATCCAGCAACTCTTAACAGCAGTAGTAAAGAAGATCCCTTTAATCACTGCAAAAAGTAAGACAATTAGTCTGAATATATGGATGCATTTTTAAAGCTGTGAACTACTTGGGCTATTAAGTCAACTTAAATCATTTTGTATTCTAAATTAATAACGGATGTGGTGGTTACCTTAGGCGGTTTGAGTTCTAACTATAGCTCATTTACAGGATTTTAGAATTCACAATATCTTGGTCGTCAACCAACCAGTTGGTCTTTTACTGTTTTCACTGTGTTTGATCCAAGGAAGGAATTTTTTACATTTATTATTGCATGTAAATTGTAAGTCTGTTGTGTATATAATTAAAACTGTATTTAATGTTTATTAATAAGGAAAGAGATTAACATTTGCCTACAATGTGCCAGCTTTTGCGGGCTTGGTACTTTTACGGTCTCTTGTGGGATAGGTGGTATCATCTCGCGTTTTACAGATGAGAAAACTGAGGATAAGCAAGGTTAAGTAACTTGCTCAAGATCACTAACTATGGGGGGCGAGGAAGGATACTAACCGAGGCCTGTTTGACTCCAGAGCCATTAATCTTCTATCACTCACTATCCCACACTTTGCTGAAATGCACGACTATCAAGACTTGGAGCAGTGAAGTCTGCTCTGTCGCTGCCCGTCCTCAGCAAGACTGAACGCTTGCTTCTCAGCCTCAGTTGTTTTGACAGAACCAACCGCCTTTAGGGGGCAGATAGTCTGTTGATACTTAGGTGAATGCTTTTGAGCAAGATGACTGCAGACATTTACAGGCAAGGGATAAAGCAGATTATCATACTACATTCATGGGAATATGAAAACGAAAGTACAGACTACCCTGCTTGTTTTTTTTCTAACGGCAAAGAAATTACCTCTTTTTCCCTTGGTTGAAGTCTGGGGGTCGTTTTGCGGTAGTTCAAAGTAAATATTCAGGGACATTTTCCTAGCCCAGCAGGAAAAAATTTAAAAATCTCTGTGTTTAAAAATTTTAGATACTAAGACAGAATATTAGAGCTGGAAGGCAGGTCAGAAACCCAACTTTCGCAACAGTCATTTTAGAGATAGGAAAGCTGAGGCCCAGAGGGGTGCTGTGGGTTAACGGCGCAGCAGGGCTAGCCCTCAGATCTGCTCCTGCTGGAGAGCTGGGCGCCCCGCGCTGCACAGGTAGGTAGTCTTCTGCCGGAGAAGCCGCCGGTTTCCTAGAGGGCGTGCTGTTTGAGTACACACGGATAAAGACGCCGCCCTCCCTCTTAGGCAGAAGGCCTCTGTGTTAGGCTGCAGGTGAGCTTAGCCGGTAAGGATCCCTCTAGTGAATACGATTTGGTTTCAGTCTAACAACTTTATTCAGAGCGTGCTGGATATGTGCGCCCTAGGTGAGGACGCCAGCTGCTTTTCTGCGAAGTCCGTGGAGCAGTATTACGGCTGGAACATTGGGAAAAGGAGAGCTGCCGAGGTAATACCAGTTGCTGTGCGGGCTGCCTCTGGGAGCCTGGGAAGGCCATACCCAGAAGCCGTGCGGGCCGGCCGCTTCCGGGACAGTGATGAAAGTTACAGCGTATTTTGTTGACTATTTAATGGGAGACTTTTTTCCTCCATGTAAAATCTCACCTTCGAACACTTGTAGCTAGCCTTTGAAAGGTCTGCTGCTTGTTTCTGCATTGGTAAAAATTTCTAAACATCTTTTATGATTTTCTTTCAATCTATTACAATGAAACCAAGTATTTGTTGAGTCCTTACAACGTGGCAGCTACTGTGCCAATGGTGGGGCTGTGGGAGGAGGAGGCACGTCGGGAGGCGTGCTTAGGAAGCTGTGAGAAGGTTAGTGTGACGGGTTCGGAGAAGTTCGGCGGGAAGAGGGAAGCTGGAGACCACAGTTGGAGACCAGGCGAAAAACCTTCTAGGCCAGACCTGGGAGTTTCAGTGTTCTTCCATGAACGTCAGTTACTTCGCTTCTTTTTAAAACTTTCTAAAAACACAATCAGATTAAAAAAAAAAAAAAATTCTAACAGGTTAAGTTAGCATTGTCATTGACTGTTGGGGGATGTATTTGAACACACTGCAAAGTTTGAAATTGATATTGATTCAAAAAAATTTGTTTTTAAGTGGCAAAGAGCAATGACAATGAGAAAAGTCTTACAAGAAATCCTGGAGAAGAATCCCAGATTTCACCACCTGACTCCTCTTAAAACCAAGCACATCGCTCACTGGTGTCGCTGCCATGGCTACACGCCCCCCGATCCCGAGACCTTGAGGAGTGACGGTGACTCTATTGAGGACGTGCTGACCCAGATCGACAGCGAGCCAGGTGCGGCTTCAGTGGGGCTCCCTGGGCCCCGTCAGTAGCCTGAGAGGCGGTTTCACGGAACACGCTCTCATCTCTTCAGCTTCTGCGGTTCTTGGGCTGCTCCAGCCCTGGAGGACTTGAGGGACAGGAGCCTTGGCACACCGAGAGCCGTGTGTTCTGTCTCCCCCCGCCCCAGAACTGTTTGTGCCCCAGTGTCCCCAGCACTGGGCCCCAGCCAGGAATGTTCCAGCCCGTGGCATACAACGGGCACACGCTGTTGTTCGACGGCCCCCCCCTCCTTTGCATCATTTCTTCTTCTTTTTTTCTTTTTTAAGATTTTATTTATTTGACAGAGAGAACGAGAGAGGGAACACAAGCAGGGGGAGTGGGAGAGGGAGAAGCAGGCTTCCCGCGGAGCGGGGAGCCTGATGCGGGGCTCGATCCCGGGACCCTGGGATCATGACCTGAGCCGAAGGCAGAGGCTTAATGACTGAACCACCCAGGCGCCCCTTTTCTTTGAAGACTTTCCTAATCCCCCTCCTTTCCTCCAGATAGAACTGACTTCTCCTTCCTTTGTGACCTTATGACCCCTCATAGACAAGTCTACCCGATTTCTTGAAGATGGAGGCACTGTCTTACCTGTTACTTTATCTCCAGACCTAGCTAGGAAATAGACTACCCAGTGTTGGAGACACAGATGGAAACCACTAATAATGTTGCAGATTAGAAGAATTGTTTATTTTTTTTATAAACATTTCTTCTTTTTTTTTTTTTAAGATTTTTATTTATTTGTTAGAGGGAGAGAGAGCACGCACACGAGCAGGGGGAGTGGCAGGCAGAGGGAGAAGCAGGTCCCTGCTGAGCAGGGAACCCGATGCGGGGCTCAATCCCAGGACCCTGGGATCATGACCTGAGCCGAAGGCAGATGATTAACCGAATGAGCCACCCAGGCGCCCCTAGATGAATTGTTTTATGGTAAAGAAACAAACAGTTGTGCTGTAGAGGGGAGGGAGCAGGGCATAAAGGATACATGGGGAGAATATTTTTGAGTTTCTCCTTAAGAAGGGTTTTCTCCTCCTAACCCTACTTCTGTAGAAAAGCAGGAGCTCCACTCCCCGTCTGAGGGAGCCTGGAATACAGGGAGGGGGTGTGTGTGTGTGTGTTGGGGGGCGGTCCTTAAGACTTAGCCCAAGTTCCATTTTTTCCGTGCAGCTCTCCTGAGAGCCCGAATGCAGGATGACCTCTCCTTTCTCTGAAATCCAGCAGCACTTAATATCAGACCATAATGGTTTGTCAGAGATAAATATCTAAGCTCTTTGGAGGACAGAAACCATGTTGGTTATCTCCATGCTTCATTGGTAGCATGTGGGAAGCACAACACGTTACACATACTAGGCTTTCTGTTACAGTGACGGAGTAATTTCTAAGTGCCGGTCAGTGAAACAGAAGAAGCCAGGAGCTGGATGCTCCCCCACCAGCCTGCTTGGGTATCCTTAAGCCTGTCTTGTACCTGGTGTGGACCTCATTTCCTCCTCCATAAGGTTACAAGGATGCACTGGAAGATTCCGAGGTCCTTTCTGGCTTTAAAGTTTTAGTACTCTTTGTTAGACTTTGTGCACATCTACTTATTAAAGACTAGATGCACGGTTTACACTAAAATGTTAACAGTACTCCCTCTGAGCAGTGAGAGGGGCTCATATGGGCGATTTTTATTTTCTTCACTGGGCACTTAAAAATTTTCCAGACTTAAAATATGAAAATCAGTTTAGTCATTAGTATTGGGAGCTTCAGGGCATGGCCTAGTTTTTGGTGGCATAAGTCAGAATTACATATTGTTTTGTCTTAGATTGCAGTCGCATCACGTATATATTGACACAAGTCGCCTGTCTCTGTGCTTGTCTGTCTTATGAATTACTAGTTCTCACACTTATCATCCATAGAATTCTAGAACTGGAAAGAAGGTTAGCTCCCTTGATACTTATCCCTTCTTCTCTGGGTCTCGGACTGTGGTGTTATGGAGATGGGGAGTCCATTCCTGTGGCCAGCACAGCTGTCCTGAGACGGATCCCCTGTCATTTAGAGTGCCCGTCATCATTCTCCTCTGCTGACAACCTCTGCCGGAAACTGGAGGACCTGCAGCAGTTTCAGAAGAGAGAGCCAGAGAATGAAGAGGAGGTGGACATCCTCAGCCTCCCGGAGCCGTTAAAGATCAACATCAAAAAAGAACAGGAAGAGAAACAGGAAGAAATGAAGTTCTACCTGCCACCAACACTGGGGTCGGAATTTATTGGTGACATCACCCAGAAGGTAGGGGTTGTGGCCTCTGGTGTGAGATGCTCAGACCTTCAGCCTTATACACAGACACCAGACTTTCCTGGTGAAGTAAAAGTGTGAGTTTCTTCTGCCTGATGAACTTAGGGTATGCTCCCTGGACATCCCTTTTCCCACATCAGGGCAAGAAAACGAATTCCATGTGAAAAGGTTGCTTGCTGGCCATGGAATTGAAGCAGAGGCATCTAGGGATAGACCATTTTTTACTTTCCTCTTTGTTCTCATTTGCCTCCGTGGAAACACCACCCCCTCCTGAGGCACGTGTCCTAATACTGCCAAGTGGTACTTGAGAGGCCGAGCCTTCCCTGACATTTTTCTAGCTCCCAGGGGCCCTGCCCATGGTGTGGGTGCGGCCCGCACGCTCCCGTGTGGCGCAGGAGGGGATGCCTTCTCCACCTCTGGCCGGACTCAGCAGCGCGGCGGCGTCTGCCCACCTGTCCCCGGTACGGCTGCCTGGGACCCAGAGCGGAAGGTGGGGTTTGTTTCATTTAGAGGAGAAAATGCAAAACGGGGCGAGCACAGGTTCCAAGTGTATCTTCGTCAAACGGGGCCTGAAGTCTGATTCCAGGCTTCCCAGTGGGTCGGTCCCACAATCAGAATTCCTGCAAATCCTGGCCATGTTCTTCCTGAAGGAGATTTGGGGGTAAAAGCGGGACTCTGCTAGCATGTTTAACAAGCACTCAGAAACTGAGATAAACAGGATCGCGTGTTCTTCCAGCTGTTAGGTCTCGCGTCCCTTCCCCCGAGTTTTGTCCAGAGAGCTTGTAGAGTTACTCTTTCAACTGGGTATTCGACAGGTGTGCTTGTTTGGAGAGCTGGGTTTTAGTGTAGAGATAGGAACGAATGGCTTTCTTCCGCTTTTCCAGATTGGGATCACTCTGCAGCCCGTGGCACTTCACAGGAACGTGTACGCCTCGGTGGTGGAGGACATGATTTTAAAGGTGGGCGCCTGTTGGCAGCCGTGGGCCCGGGAGCACCAGGGCGCCGGCAGGCAGGATAGTCTGGGTCCTGGGCTGTTCTGAGTAAGGGACAAGGGCACAAATGGAACAGAGATGATAAGTTTTAAGAGTTTTCATTTTAATCAGGCTTAGTGTTTTCTCTTTTTTCTCTTCTGATTTTTAAATGAACTAAATCACAGGTCTTCTGAGTGTGAAAGCATCCATAAGAGTTTCTGTGTTGATGTCACTCGAACGATTCTTTTTGGTGCCTTCTGAAGCAGCCTGAGATGAGAGTGCTCTCATTGCTTTAGGAGGCGACAAAAGCAGAGCCTTGGGTTTTCTCCACATGTCACAACAACAGAGAAACAGCCACAGTTGTCCCAACCCTGGGCAAGAGGATGGCAAACTAGCTTCCTTACCTGGCCTGATCTAGCTCCATCGGGCCCCTTTTCCAGCAGGGACAACTCGCAAATAACCCTCACCGGTTTTCCTTTTTTTTTTTTTTAATGGAAATAACCCAGATTTTTATTTTATTTTTTTTAAAGATTTTATTTATTTAAGAGAGAGCACGAGCGGGGGAGGGGGGGTGAGGGGCAGAGGGACAGACTTAGTGCTGAGCAGGGAGTCCGAGGCAAGGCTCAAGCCCAGGGTCCTGGGCTCACGACCTGAGCCGAAGGCAGATGCCCAACTGGCTGAGCCACCTAGGCGACCTCCCTCACCGGTTTTCCTTAAAAACAATGTCTGATTAATGAACATTCCCTCCATTCATAATTTCTCAGAATCATGGCCTTTATATTTGTGATGTAATATTTGTGGTCTATTATTTGGACCTTTAGTGTTTTCTTAAGGACTTTTGCTCCTTAGGTACAACTGTTTCCAAAGTTTTGTATATGGGATGGGGTCAGATGTGTCCCTTCCCACCAGCAGGCATGTGGCCATTTTCGAGAGTAACCCTATCTTCTGTCGTAGGCCACGGAGCAGCTGGTGAACGACATCCTGAGACAGGCTTTGGCAGTTGGATACCAGACAGCATCTCACAACAGGTACTGAGATCTCTTTAGTCAGTGGTACTAGGCTTACAGGTATTTCCTGACAGGTAAGTTGCCCATGAAGAGGTTTTATACCTCATCCAGTTGGAGATGGAGGTGACAGTGCTTGGGACATTCTCAGAGCCAGACATACTCAGGGGTCTGCTTGGTCATTTTGAGACTCCCGTGGTGTGAAAGCTCAGCTTTGCCCAGAGGTCTGTATCTTCCTAATCACTCCTTCAGACACACTGTTCATTAGGACTCTGTTCCGCTACCAGGTTGAACAATACCAGCTCTTCGCAATTAAAGATGATAATATTGTCCATGACGTATCAGATGTTGGGGTCAGACATTGCATACGTTACCTGATTTGTTTTTCATTGGAGAACTCTAGCCCCCCTTTTAGAAGTCAGGAAACCAGGCTCTGAACGTTCACGTTACCTGGCTTTCCCAGCACTTGGGTGATAGACCTCATTGGCTCTAAAGCTCCCCCACTCACCACTGCTTTGCTGTCGGGACACTGAGTTTTGCCTTTTTCCTAGGCCCCAGAGCATGGCAGACAGGCCTTTCTTTGTTCCACATCCTTTCAAAGGAAACAAGTATTTTATCCCAGTATCCTTAAAGCCTGTCCTAAATTTGTAAAACTGTATTAAAAGTGCCTGAGGACATAAAGAGGCCTACATCAGAGGACTGTTAGGTCAGACTTCACAGGATTAGAATACCTCAGGCAGTGTGGAAGATATCTTTAAGAAAGAAGGAAGGAGAAACAGGAGTTCCAGGAATGCTCCTTGTCCTGTGTGAAACCCAGCAGTGGGCTGAGTGCCTTCTGTGGCCCCTGCTCACCTCCCTCGTCCTGGCTGTGGAGATACAGTAGCTGGGGTGCTCTTGATAAGAACATTTATCACCCTGGCCTGGCACAACTCTGTATCCCCTCCCCCCGACAGGTGGAAACATGGTCCCACAGTTCTGTAGCCCTTTGACTCAGCTCTGTCTGCTAAGACTGAATGATGAGAACATCATTCTGTTTTGCTGTCCACTTTACTTCCTTCTCTTTTCTCAATCCTCAGAGGTTTTTTTCTTCATTGTTCAACCAAGTTCTTGAAATCCATCTCATGCCTGTGACTGAGAAGTCAGATTTGAGCCGTAGGGCAGGCTGTGAAGAGGGCAGGCCAGTCTTTTTTTTTTTAAAGATTTTTAATATTTTGACAGAGACACAGCGAGAGAGGGAACACGAGCAGGGGGAGTGGGAGAGGGAGAAGCAGGCTTCCCGCTGAGCAGGGAGCCCGATGTGGGACTCGATCCCAGGACCCTGGGATCATGACCTGAGCC